TCTTGTTTCTTTTCATGTCATCCCATATAACTTTTAGGTTTTCTTCATTTCTCTTAAATCTTTGTTCTCATTTTTCTTCATGCAGGATGGTATCAATACATTTATGTTCTAGTTGGGAGATGCATTCTTCAGCCAGTTCTAGCCTATTCTGTCCTTCCACTTTGCTGTGTAATTCTGTAATTTCAGTGTTCATCTTCTGGATTTCTAACTGCTGTTTTTGTATGAGTTCTGATTGTGTATTAATCTTTTAATTTTGTTCCTGGATGTTTTTCCTGAATTCTTCCAGGGTACTGTCTGTGTTCTCCTTGATTCAGTTTAGGGTTTCCTGAAGCTCTTGTAGAGTTCTATGAACATATCTTCTGAATTTCTTCTTGGATAATTCTATTGCCTCTTTTTCCTCCATGTTTAATGGTTTTTTTTGTTTGTTTGTTTTGTTTTTTTGTCGGGGGTTTTATTTCTATTGTCTTGTCCTATTTTTTTTGTTTGATTTTCAGTTGCCTATTGTTTCTTAGACATTTTGAAATTGTTGTCTTTAACTGTTAGTTACGTGTTGATTTGTTTCACCTTGATTTTATGTTTAAATATATTCACAAGGGTGGAACTGGTGTGTTTTATTTTTTTGGTTACTAATTCAGGTGTTCTGGGTTGCGCTGAAGTTTTCTTTGTGTTGAAATCACTGTGTGGAATGTGGATGTAGGTCTCTGTTCATTGTGAAGGGGATTTAGAGTTAGGATGAGCAGGTATTGTGGTGGCTTAATGTAGTTTTTCTATTGAGTGAGGCAGGGGAGAAGGAGGAAAAAGAGGAGAAGAGCGAAATAAAAATAAATAAAAGGCACCAGTAGTGAGTCCCTGCTTTCTGCATTTCCATAATTACTGCTTGTTCTGGGGTTTTGTTTTGAGTCTGGTTGGGACAGCTACCAGTGATGATGTTTTGTTGTTATTCACAGACCCACGGTTCAAAATTGGCAAAGACCTCAGTGGTTAGGGGGTCGCTACTTTCCACTTGGGTCAGATAGCCAAAAAGAAATCCTGTACTCTGGGCCACTCTGTGCTAAAATGCTGTCATGGAAGAGCTGAATCCCAGCCTTGTCCTGTCAGCTAATCCAGGGCCACCTACCTGTGGCACATTTCCTCCCTTCCCCTTTTCCACTGTAAACTCAGCAGCGACCTGAGCCACAGGGGTTTCTGCTCTGTTTCTCAGAACTGTTGTTCACTTATTCAGTCCTTTACTATTAAATTGATCTCAAATGGTATCACTATTACAGTCATAACTGGGCATTCACTTACTCAGCTCAGTTCCCAAAGTTACTGTCAGAAGCTGCTGTTGTCGGTATTCCGAGTCACCAAAGCCACCATTGATTCCCTGATGTCCCCCTTCTTTCTTTTTTCCACCATGGCTTTCTCTGGTATTTTTAAAGAAGCTTTCTGCTTCTCCATCTCACTGTCTCACTCACTGACAGGCAGGTTTGTTTATTTTTATTTTTCCTGGCTGTTTTCCCTGCTTTTTTTTTTTTCTTTCTCCTTTTCCACTAAATCTGGCTTTCTCTAACTTAAATGAGCTGCTGACAGCCCCAGAATTCCTGCTTCAAACTGTTGCACCTAGGTTTTCAGGCAGTAAGTAAGATGCTAGAGGGACTACAGGTGGATTACAGGTATGACACCATCTTCCAAAAGCCATCTCTTTAATTTTTTGAGGAACCACAAAACTGCTTTTCCAAAGCAGCTGCACCATTTTATATGCCTACCAGTAATGAATACGAGGGTTCTTGTTTCTCCACATCCTTGGGAACACTTGGTACTTTCCATTTTTCTTATCATGGCCATCCTAGTGGGTCTAAAGGTCCCTGGGTAGTGCAAATGACAATTTTAACCCAGCCAGCAGTGCCACAGAAGAAAGGCCTGGCAATCTCCTACTGAAAAGATTACAGCAAAGAAAATCCTCTAGAACAGTGGTATTCTGTAACACATGGGCTTGCTGTGAGTCAGAATCAACTAGACAGCTACAGGCATGGGTTGGATGATACCTACTGTAGTTTTGATTCACATTTGCTTAATGACTAAACTTTGAGCATTTTAAATATCTTTTTTAAAATGTATTATATTGATATGCTGCATTACATTGATGGATTTTCTTCCATTGAACCAGCCTTGTATCCCTTAGATAAATCCACTTGGTCTTGGTGTATCATTCTTCTTACATCTTTCTGATTTGGTTGCTAGTCTTTTGTTGAGGATTTTTGTGTCCATTTGCATAAGAAGTATTGGTGGTTTCCTTTTCTTGGAATATCTTTGTCTGGTTTCAGTATTACTAGTATAGTAATACTAGTCTCATAGAATACTTGAGAAATGTTCACTCCTCTTCTTTTTTTGGGAAATATTTTTGAAGAATTGGTCTTAATTCTAATTTAAGTGTTTGGTAGAATTCCACTGTGAAGCCATCTTGGCCAAACCTTTCTTGGTGGGTAGTTTTTTTTAAATTACTACTTCAGTTCCTTTACTTGTAATAGTTTTATTCAGATTGTTTGATTCATTCCCAGTTTCAGTAGTTTGTGTCTTTCTACACAAACTTGTTGTTTGTGTATAAAGTACATTCATAGTACTTGTTCTAAGTACCATATTATTATACAAATAACACACACCTCTTACATTTGTTTGTCAACCATTTCCTCCCTCCAGGAGATATTTTTTATAAGTGCCTGCTAGATGCTATACCAGTTACTGTAAAAACATTAGCATAGCTTGTTTACAGAAATACCTCTGGGGCAGGGAGGAGGTAGAACAGTTGGCAAACAAATGTAAAAAGCACATAATTGTGTAAAAAATGGTATTCTATTATAATGCTTTTTATTTCTATATGTCAGTAGTTTTCACTGCTATTCATAAAGTTTTTAGTGGTGGTTCTGTCTGAAGTGGATGGCCCCATCCTTCTTCTAATCTGTCTTAGTCTAGAACTCTGCTGAAACCTGTCTACCATGGGTAACCCTGCTGGTATTTGAAATACCAGTGGCATAGCCCCCAGCCTTACAGCAACACACAAGCCACCACAGTAGGACAAACTGACAGACTTGGTACAATCAACACTGATGGAACAGCAATCAAGAAATCAGATGTTATATTGCACTAGGCACATCAGCTGCAAAAGACCTCTTTAAACTGTCAAAGAGCAAAGATAACACTTTGAAGACTAAGGAACACCTAACCCAAGCCATGGTATTTTCAGTTGCCTCATGTCCATGTGAAAGCTGGACAATAAAAAGGAAGACCAAAGAAGAGTTCATATTTGATTATGGTGTTGACAAAGAATACTGAGAATACCATGGACTTCCATGACAACAAACAAATTTGTCCTGGAAGAAGTGCAGCTGGGATGCTTCTTGGAAGTGAGAAGGGCCAGACTTCATCTAACCTACGTTGGTCATGTGATCAGAAGGGACCATACTGTGGTGAAGGATGTCATGCTTGGTAAAGTGGAGAGGCAATGAAAAAGGGGAAGTCCCTTAACAAGATGGATTGACACAGTGGCTGCAACAATGGCTCAGGTATAGCAAGGATTGTGAGGCTGGTGCAGGACCAGGCAATATTTTGTTCTGTTGTACACAGGGTTGCTATGAGTTGGAATCAACTCAATGGCACCGAACAACAACATCAAGGTCAATAGTAATGTCCTTGGTTTCATTCCTAATTTAGTAATTTGACTCTTCTCTTTGTTAATCTAGCTAAAGGTATATCAATTTTGTTGCTCTTTCCAAAGAATCAACTTTTGGTTTCATTGTTTTCTGTTCCCTACTTCATTAATTTCTATTCTAATCTTTATTATTTCTTTATTTCTTGCTTTCTTCTTTGCTCTTCTTTTTCTAGTTTCTAAGGTAGAAGGGCAGGTTATTTAATTAAGATCTTTCTTCTAACTTAATCCAGGTATGTGTCACTTTCTGTTTAAATAACGCCCTACCACATATATATCTGTGGTCCCATAAGATTTATATATTTATTTAAAAAGGAGGAAACAGCTTTCCTTGTATTTATTATTTTCCCCTAATGGTTTTAAAGACCCCAAAACCAAACTCTTGCAGCACTAGTCTGCTCTGGGCATGGGTTCTTAGGCTTTGTTCAACAGATAGGTGGGCAGCAGAGGCTGTGGGGCCCAAGATGCTCCAGCTGCTCAGGTGAGTGGAACAGCTAGTGGGGCTGGCCATGCTCTTCTCCCTCTTGACTCCCCTCTCACTCTGCTCCTGCCACTGCCTTCTTAGCCACAGCCACTGCCAGCCCTCATTCCTCCAGCCTTCTCTAGCAGCAGCAGCACCAGTAGCAGTGGCAATGAAGACAACTAGAAGTGGGCTCCCATAAGGTTTTAATATGGTGTTTGCACAACATCCAAATCATGTAACATCCTATTTCACAGAACATATTGTGGATGTTAAGCAATGCATAACTATATGTGGATTCACAGTTACAAATTTCTCTCTAAGCACTGCTTTAACTGTATCCCATAAGGTTTTGGTTTTTATGTCTTCATTTTCATTCATCTCAAAGTATTTTCTGATTTCCACTTTGATTTCTTCTTTAAACCATTGGTTATTTAGAAGTGTGTTGTTTAATTTCCATAATTTTGTGGGATGGAGGGCTGGGAATTCCCCTGTGGTAGGGAAATACTCCACATACACCTTGACAGAAGGAGCACCTAAAATGTCATGTTGGTAAGGTTTGAAGATTAAGACATGAATAATGGAACCCTAGAGTAGTTTGTATTCATATTGTACTGGTTTTATTCTTTGGACTTAAAGTTCTCTAAAATTTTTCTGTTAATTAAAAAAAAAATCTGTTAAGTCTTAGATATTCTTCATGAAAATTTAAGGCTCAGGCAACTTAGGAATTGGATAGAACTTTATTCTGGTCGTTTAAAGAAATGTTTAATTTGCTGTTTATTCTGATAATCTTTACAATCCGTTAAACAAAATTGTCTTTAAATATAAAGCTTTCTCACTGGTCATATTTTATTTAAGGTAAACCAGGCTAACAATCTGCTTCCTGAAAATACTTTCAACATAAATGAACTCTCGCGTTTGCTCAATTTCCGTGAAGAGGCATATAAAAGGTCCTTTTGGAGAATTATCTCGGTAACTATTGCATATTTAAGGGGGGAAATTAATAATTAATTGGTTGGTGCATTAATTGGGTAATTCTGCTATAACCTTCTATATGAGTTTCTGAGAAACATCTCAGTGTAAAATAGTACAATAAAAATACCAGGGATTATGGCAAAAGTAAGACAGACTCATCAAAACATGTAATTTTGTAGCCAGCGTATTAACAGAAAGGATAATTGATAACTTGAGTCAACCAGGCATACAGCTCATGGGGACTACCACAAGAATATGAAAAATACACAAAAGCAAAAGGGTGGAAATCTACCCACATTTTTATTAGAAAAGCAATGGTGGTACTGAGATAACACAGATGGAATTGGAGCTCTGACCTTATGGTGCTGCTATTAATGTGTGACAGAGCCAACTTGACTCTCAAATAACTTTGAGGAGGGCACTCTGGGTGTAGGCACTCCTTTTTTATTTTCTTAAAATACAGCTGAAGGATCCTGTTGCCAGTGCAACAACTGACCTGAAGTTTTTTCCTTTTCACTGAAAGTTATAATTCTACTTATTCTAGTCTATTAACACTTACCCAGCAAAAATCATGGTTGAGCTAAACAGCTGTCTATATTACATCATTCTCTTATACCAAACACATCTAAGCCCATCACATTATAAAAACACAGGTTGCAGTGGATCAGAATTTTTGAGAAAGTGCTCAAAGTTTATAATTCATTGCTAAAGTAAATGGCATCAAAAATACTAGGCTTACATACCTTTCATTGTTAACATGAAACACATTTCCTTAGAGAACTCTGGTGGCGTCATACCTAAAGCATTTGACTGCTAACTAGAAGGCTGATGGTTCAAACTTACCAGCTGCTCCTCGGAAGGAAGACTGGGCAATCTACTTCACATACCTTTCATTGTTAACTATGAAAAACATTTCCTTAGAATTCTATTTATTTAAGTACTGTTGACCAGCAATTTGGACTTTGGCTAGAGGTACTGAGACCTTAAACTATCAGGGATTTAAAGTTATCAGGTAGGGGTTGTAAGATTTCTCTGTCCTTTAATTTATCAAAATTATTGTCATTTCCATTTTTAGGAACCTTCAGTAGACGTTTCATGTTATGTTATATTCAGTCATTTTCCATTTATCTTTAGTTTTCTGTCGAAAATTAAACTGTTACATGCTGACTCAGAGTTACAAATAGAGGTATGTATGGCAAATTTTTTTTGTCTTAATTAGCATAATTTATATGATAAATGCCTTCTTATGCATGTGATATTTTGGTTATAAAGGAGCTAGCCAGTGGTGAAACTCATGATCATAGATAGCAGTCATGGGTCTTATATTCTAATGTAGAAGGCATAGCAGACTCATAATTTGAGTTGCATAGGCCTCTAAGCATCTTAGGGCCTCAGTAGCAAAGGATAGAGCTCGGGCACATGACCTAGTTGTAGGGCTTTTGTGTGAAGTTGGTAGCCTGTAGTATTCTGAATAGTACTCAAAGAGGCATAGCATACTTGGGCTAGATTAGGCCTAGCACCAATAGGTAAGATCTGATCTCATGAAAAGACATGGCAGCAGGAATACAGATGGCAGAAAATTCTTGAAATTAGAATGTAAAGACATTATGGCCTTTAGGTCCATTAAGATTAGGACCCCAATATATGGTTAGTATTCTGTGATGGTGCCATAATAAATGTTTGTCAAAATTACCCCTTTTTAACATACTGTCAACTGGATGAATGCTCACTAAGAGTCAATATTGAATGTATAGCTTATCTCCAATGGTGTCTATAAAACCCTTTTCATAAATGCTTATGATGTGCAGTTATAAACAGAACCAATTTATTCTATTTTATACATTTCTGCTGAGAGAAGGCCAGTGGTGAAATGAAGTAAAACATTTCTGTTTTTCCAGGTGAGAAATAAAGCTTTTTTAAGGTGGCTAGCACAAGAAGGGCCACCTTTGTTGCCTACCATTAATCTAGCAGTCAGAAGGAGTCACTTGGTTGAGGATGTTTTTAATCAGCTAAATCCATTTGAGAATGAAGACTTGAGGAAGGAGTTATTGGTAAAGTATAATTCTTACTTAGTATGTTTGTTTCTTAGAAAGTTAAAACATAAAAAAAAAAAAAGGTAACAAATTGCTTCATAGAGGGGAAATTATCTCCCTTCACCATTGAGGTTGTCTGTCTTGAGGTTTCCCTAATTCCCAAGTTAGTACATAGACCAAGAGGCATGTACTTTGGACCATGTTATTGAGGCAGACCAGTCCCTGGAAAAGGATGTCATGTTTGGTAAAGTAAAATGTCAGAGAAGAAGGAGAACACCCTCAAAGAGATGGATTGACGCAGTGGCTACAAAAATGGACTGAAACAGGAATGATTGTGAGGATGGGGCAGGACCCGGCAGTGTTTCATTCTGTTGTATGTCGGGCCACTATGAATTGGAACCTACTTGATGACACATAACAACAATAGAGAGCAATAGAGAAGTGGTGAAACTGCACCTGTCAAAGGAGGAGACTTGTGAGATGTTGAAAATCGAGGCAGTCCCCTTGACTTTCAGCTCTCACAAATTTCACTGTATAAATTCTTTCTGTGTCTCATTGAAAAGTGTGTCTGTCAACCAAGAGAGAAGATAGAATGGATATGGAGTTTCAGTGTCTACAAGTGGTAAGTGAAGTTTAAAAACAAAAGAAAGATCCAGCTAAACAACAAAGAGGAAGGGCAGAAGTCTAAGCATAGAACCATAGGATTAAGCCACCAGGAAAAAAAGAGAAAGAAAAAAATTGAATGATATTTTATAAGAGAAAGCAAGAGAGAAAAGAGTGCCAAGAAAGAGACATGTTGTTGTTGTTGTTGTTGTTGTTGTTGTTATTTGCCCTCAAGTCAGACCTGACTCATAGCGACCCCTCCTGGGGTTTCTGAGGCGGTATCACTACAGAAGTAGATTGCACAACCTTCCTTCCGAGGAGTGGCTGGTGGGTTTGAACCACCAGCCTTCTGGTTTGCAGTCAGGTGCCTTAGGCACTACGCTACCAGAGCTCCCAGAAAGAGACAGTAGTATAAAATGAGTTCGTGAAATCAAGGAGATGAGACATGAAAAAAAAAAAAGTCATTGAAATTGGGAGTTAACAAGATCTTGATATCTTGGAGAGAACCACTTAAGTAGAGAAGCAGGGTTGCAAGTTGATGTATATTAGTCTCTAAGTTTGGCAACTTAGGGTAGAAGGAGTTGGTGTTGTTTGTATTGGAGACACACACACACAAATAAAAAAACCTCATTGCTGTCGAGTCAATTCCAACTCATAGCACACCTTCCTTGGGTTTCTGAGGTGATATCTGTATGGAAGTAGATTGTCAACTCTTCCTTCTGAAGAATGACTGGTGGGTTTGAACCATCAGCCTTCTGGTTAGCAGTCAAATGCCTTAGGCACTATGCCACCAGAGCTCCTATTGGAGACAAGAGTGTAGATTTGGTTGTTGTTTTTAATAAGGGTAAGTGAGACTCTAGCACATTTGTAAAGTGAAGTGATTCTAAAAAGGCGAGGTAGGAATGATGGGAGTAATGGAAGGAGCAAACATGGGTTAAGAAGGAAACATCTTGGGAAGGGAGGGATGGGAGCTCTGGTAGCATAGTGCCTAAGGCACTTGACTGCTAACCAGAAGGCTGGCGGTTCAAACCCACCAGCCACTCCTCGGAAGGAAGGTTGGGCAATCCTACTTCCGTAGAGATACTGCCTTGGAAACCCAAGTAGGGGTCGCTATGAGTTGGGGCCAACTCAACGGCAAATAACAACAACAACAACAACTACCTCTATAAGGAATAAATAACCAACTTGGGAACTCTTATAAATATGTATGCATTTTAATGAAAATCCTAATATTTATGATTTCTTTATGTTTATTCTCATTGTATTTAATGTACCTGATGACTGTAATAGTGACACCATTTGAGATCAATTTAGTAGTAAAGGACTGAGGCTCTGGGGTTTGATAGGATTAAATCCAGGCTGCATCTTTAGCTGTTTTGTATAACATTGAAGTCTCATTACCCTCATAGAATTGATGGGAAGATTAAATGTGATAATACAAGTAAGATGCTGACCATACTGCCTACCAGATACCTGAGGCCACAATTAATATTACCTATTACATTTACTATATTGAATGTACTGTGGACAGTCAGAAGAACAAACAGCTCTGTCTTGGAGGAAGTACAGTTGGAATGCTCCTTAGAAGCAAGAATGGCCAGACTTTGTCTCTTATACTGTGGTCATATTGTCAGAAGGGATTAATTCCTGAAGAAGACTATCATGCTTGGTAAAGTAGAGGGTCAGCAAAGAGGGGAAAACCCTCAAAGAGATTGACTGACACAGTGGTTGCAATGGTGGGCTCAAACACAGCAAGATTGTGAGGATGGCACAGGACCAGGCAGTGTTTCGTTGTGTTGTACATAGGATCACTATGAGTTGGAACTGACTTGAGGGCACCTAACAACAACAACAACAACAACAACATTAAAGTTGCCAAATTGAATACATAGCAGTACAGAGGCCTGGAAGTAAAGGATTATTTACTCTTTTCAGGTTTCATTTAGTGGAGAAATTGGCTACAACACTGGAGGAATCAGGTCAGAATTCTTCCACTGTATATTTAAAGAGATGACTCGGCCAGAATATGGGATGTTTATGTATCCTGAAGAGGCTTCCTATATGTGGTTTCCTGTCAGGGTAAGTCTTCTTTTCTTTGCTTACAGTGTTTTGTGTCAGAAAAAGTGAATAATAGAAAATTAGCTTCTCTAGAGGGATATTGTCACTGATGTCATATGGATCTTGGCTGAAAGCGGAGAATACCAGAAGAATGTTTACCTGTGTTTTACTGACTTTGCAATGGCATTTGACTGTATGAATCCTGACAAATTATGGATAATATTGCAAAGAATGGGAACACCAGAACACTTAATTGTGCTGATGTGGAACCTGTACATAGACCGAGAGGTGGTTGTTTGAATAGAACAAGGGGATACCGCATGGTTTTAAAACAGGAAAGCTGTATACTTTCACCATACTTAGTCAGTTTGTATGCTGAGCAAATAATCCAATAAACTGGGCAAATGCCATGAAGGTGAATGTGGCATCAGAATTGAGGAAGGCTCATTAACAACCTGGATATGAAGATGGTATAACCTTGCTTGCTGAAAGTGAAGCGGTCTTGAAGACCTAATGAAGATCAAAGACTACAGCCTACAGTATAGATTGCACCTCAACATAAAGAAAACAAAAATATCCTCACAACTGACCGAGAAACAACATGATAATAAGTGAGAAAAGATTTAAGTTGTTAAAGATTTCATTTACTTGGATACAGTCAACACCCATGGCAACAATAATCAAGAAATCAAATAATGTATTGCATTGGGCAAATCTGCTGCAAAAGATCTCTGTAAAGTGTTGAAAGCACCACTTGTCTGTCAGTTTGTTGTACTGTGATAGCTTGCATGTTATGTGAAGCTGGAGGCTATGGCACCGGTATTTCAAATACAAGCAGGGTCACTGCAAAAAGGGCAAGGAGGCCACATGTTCTGACCTCCTCTAATCCCACGAGAGGAAGACAGGATTACCAGCAGTAACTCAAGGCCTATTCCTGCCAGGCCAGACATGCTGCCTCCCTCCAGCCCTTTCTCCAACCGTTCCTCCCAAAGCACCACCACCTTTCTTCTGGGTTCGATAATTCACTGCAGTGGCCACACAGAACTCACAGATTACGGAGTTTATTAGGGAAGCACACAGGCTACAATTCAAGCTCAGGAAAAATACTCAGTCTCTCTCCCAGCCCACTGTCCCTCAGCCAACAGTCTCTCACAGTCTCTTTCCCAGCAGTGCTGGTCCCTCGGTGTCTCACTCAGCGATGCGTGTCTCTTGCGCCTCTTTCCCAGCAGCATGTGTCTCTTTCCGGGGTGCGTGTCTCTTTTGGCAGCACATCTTCCTCAACCAGCAGTCAGAGCCAGTTCTGCTTCCAGGAGGCCTCCTTTTGAGCCCGGCAGGGTGGTCAAACTAGCCAATCATAGCATCAGAACTCTAAGCACCTGAGAGAAAGTGGGCACCTCCCAGAACATTGTATTGTGCCACGCCCAACAGAAATACTCCACGTGGATAACATTTACAATCACCTCCTCAGTTGCTCATTCCACCACTGAGTTTACAATGACTTATGGGTAGAAAAGCCATACTAAGTAATTTACTACACTGCAGTCACCCATGGCAGGCAGGTTTCAGAGGAGCTTACAGACTAAGACAGACTCAGAAGAAGGAAAGTGCCATCTACTTCTCAAAGAATTGGCCAGTGAAAACTTATGAAGAGCAGTGAAACATGGTCTCATATATTACTGGAAAACTTTATGAATAGCCTGAAGCATTGTCTGATATTGTGCCAGAAGATGAGCCCCTCACATTAGAAGGCACTCAAAATATGACTAGGGAAGAGCTGCCTCCTCAAAGTAGAGTTGACCTTAATGACATGAATGGAGAAAAGCTTTCAGGACCTTCATTTGTTGATGAGGTCCAACTCAAAATGGAAGAAACAGTGGCAAACATCCATAAATGATTAGAACATGAAATGTGGAAAATATGAATGTAGAAAAATTGGAAGTTGTCAAAAATGAAATGGAATATATAAAGATTGAGATCCTAGGCATAAATGAGCTGAAATAGGCTGGTATTAGCCATTTTGAATTAGATCATCATATAATCTGCTAAGGGAGCTCTGGTAGTGCAGTGCCTAAGGCACCTGGCTGCTAACCAGAAAGCTGACTATTCAAACGCACCAGCCACTCCTCAGAAGGAAGGTTGGGCAATCTACTTCCATAGTGATACCACCTCAGAAACCCAAGGAGGGTTCGCTGTGAGTCAGGTCCTACTCGACGGCACATAACAACAACATAATCTGCTGTGCTGGGAGTGACAGATTGAAGAAGAATGGCATCATGTTCATTGTCATAAAGAATGTTTCAAGATCTATCCTGAAGTACCATGCTGTCAGTGGTAGGATAATATCCATACACAAACAAGGAACACTAGTTAACACTACTATTATTCAAATGTAAGCACCAGCCACTAATGCCAAAGATGAGGAAATGAAAGATTTTTCACCAACTTCTGCAATCTGAAATTGACCAAACATGCAATCAAGATGTATTAATTATTACTGTTGATTGGAATGTGAAAGTTGGAAACAAAGAAGAATCAGCGGTAGTTGGAAAATGTGTCTTCGCTGATAGAAATGATGTTGGAGATCCCTTGATAGAATTTTGCAAGACCTATGACTTATTTATTGCAAATAACTATTTTCAACAACATAAACAGAGTCTATTCATGTGGACCTTGCCAGATGGCATACATAGGAATCAGATCAACTACATTATTAGAAAGAGGTAATGGAGAAGCTCAGTTATCTTCAGCCAAAACAAGGCCAGGATCTGACTGTGGAACAGACCGCCTGTTGCTCATATGTAAATTCAAGTTGAAGCTGAAAAAAATTAAAACAAGTCTAGGAGAGCCAAAATAATGGCTTTGATTATATCCCACCTGAGTTTGTTGTTGTTATGTCCCATAGAGTCAGACCCTATTCTTAACAACCGCTCCTTGGGTTTCCAAGGCAGTATCACTACAGAAGTAGATTGCCCAACCTTCCTTCTGAGGAGTGGTTGGTGGGTTTGAATCACCAGCATTCTGGTTAGCAGTCAAGTGCCTTCTATAGAAGAAGATTTGAGAATAGATTTGACCCACTGAACACCAATGACTGAAAACCAGACAAATTGTGGTATGATACCATGAGCATCATAAAAAAAGAAAGAAAAAGATCATTAAAAAGACAGGAAAGTAAGAAAAGACTAAAATGGATGTAAGAAGAGACTCTAAAACTTGCTCTTGAACAGATGGTAGCTAAAGCAAATGGAAGAAATGACAAGAAAAAAGAGCTGAACAGAAGATTTCAAAGGACAGCTAGAGAACACAAAGTCAATTATTATAATGAAATGTTCAAAGACCTGGAGTTAGAGAGCCAAAATGGAAGAACACATTTGGCATTTCTCAAGCTGAAAGAACTGAAGGAAAATTTTAAGCTTTGAGGTGCAATATTGAAAGATTCTATGGGCAAAATATTGAATGATCCAGAAAGCACCATAAGAGGTGTAAGGAATATACAGAGTCACTATTAAAAAAAAAGAATTGTTTGATATTCATCTATTTCAAGAGGTGGCATGTGATTAAGAACCAAGGGTATTGAAGGGAGACATCAAAGCTGCACTGAAGGAACTGATGAAGAGCAAGGCTCCAGGAATTGAGAGAATACCCATTGAGGTGCTTCAACAAAGGATGCCATTCTGGAGGCACTTATTTGTCTGTGCCAAGAAATTTGGAAGACAGCTACCTGGTCAACTGATTGGAAGAGATCCATATTTACACTCATTCAAAAGAAAGGTGATCAACAAAGGTGATAATGTTGAAATTATCAAACAATATCATTAATACCACACACAAGTTAAATCTTGCTGAAGATAATTAAAAAAACAGTTGCAGGAATATATTGACAGTGAACTTCCAGAAATTCAAGCTGGATTCAGAAAAGAACATGGAACGGGGGGTATCATTGCTGATGTCAGATGGATTTTGGCTCAAAGCAAAGAATACCAGAAAGATGTTTACTTGTGTTTCATTAACTATGCAAAGGTATTTGACTGTATTGATCATAACATTGTGAAGAATGGGAATTTCATAACACTTAATTGTGCTCAAGAGAAACCTGTACATAGACCAGGAGGCTGTTGTTCACATAGAAAGGGGATACTGCATGGTTTAAAATCAGGAAGGGTGTGCATCAAGGTTGTATCCTTTCACCATACATATTCAATCTTTATGCTGAGCAAATAATCCTAGAAGCTGGACTCTGTGAAGAAAAACATGGCATCAGGATTGGAGGAAAACTTATTAACAACCTGAGATTTGCAAATGACACAACTTTGCTTGCTGCAAGTGAAGATGACTTGAAACAGTTACTGATAAGGATCAAAGACTACAGCCTTCAGTATGGATTACACTCAACATGAAGAAAACAAAAATCATTACAGCTGGATCAATAAGCAGCATCACAATAAATGGAGAAAACATAGGAGTTATTGAAGATTGCATGTTACTTGGATCCACAATCAACACTAATGGAAGCAGCAGTCAAGAGATCAGACAATATATTCCACTGGGCAAATGTACTGCAAAAGACCTCTTTCAAGTGTTAAGGAGCAAAGATAACACTTTGAAAGGTACACCTAACCCAATCCATAATATTTTTAATCACCTCATATGCATGTGAAAGCTGGACAATGAGTAAGGAAGACCAAAGACTAGTTGATGCTTTTGAGTTGTAGTGCTGGCAAAGAATAAAAGTACCATGAACTGCCAGTAGAGCAAACAAATCTGTCCTGGAAGAAGTGCAGCCAGAATGCTCCTTAGAAGTGCAAATGGTCAGATTTCATCACAGCTACTTTGGTCATGTTGTCAGAAGAACCATTCCCTTAAGGACATCATGCTTAGTAAAGTGGAGGTTCAGCAAAAGAGGGAAAGAGCATCAATGAGATGGATTGACATAGTGGCTGCAACGATAATGGGCTCAAGTACAGCAAGGATTGTGAGTATGGTGCAGGATTGGGCAGTGTTTTGTTCTTTTGTACATAAGGTCGCTATGAGTCAGAGCTGATTAATAATGTTGTTATGTGCCGTCCAGTTGTCTCTGACTCAGTAACCCTATGTACAGCAGAACGAAACACTGCCTGGTCCTGTGCCAGCCTCACAATCTCTACTATACCTGAGCCCATTGCTGCAGCCACTATGTCAATTTATCTTGTTGAGGACCTTCCCCTTATTCGTTAACCCTCCACTTTACCAAGCATAACCATCCTTCTCCAGAGAATGGTCCCATCTGAGAATATGATCAAAATAGTTGAAATGAAGTCTAGCCATTCTTGCTTCCAAGGAGCATTCCAGCTTCACTTCTTGCAGGACAGATTTGTTAGTTCTTTTATAGTCCACAGTACTTTCAGCATTACTCGCCAACACCACAGCTCAAAAGCCTCAACTCTTCTTTGGTCTTTGTTATTCATTGTCCAGCTCCCACATGCATATGAGGTGATTGAAAATACCATGGCTTGGGTTAGGTGCATCTTAGTCTTCAAGGAGACATCTTTGCTCTTCAGCACTTGAAAGACATCTTTTGCAGCAGATTTGCCCAATGCAAAACGTCTATTGATGATGCTTCCATTGGCACTGATTGTAGAAGCAAGCAATATGAAGTCCTTGACAGCTTCAGTCTTTTCTCCATCTGTCATGATGCTGCTTATTGATGCAGTTGTGAGGATTTTTATTTTCTTTATATTGAGGTGTAATCCTTATTGCACACTGAGTCTTTAATCTTTATCAGTAAGTGCCCCAAGTCATCCTCACTTTCAGCAAGCAAAGTTGTGTCATCCACATATCTCAGGTTGTTAATGAACTTTTCTCCAATCCTGATGGCATGTTCTTTTTCGTATAGTCCAATTTCTTGGATTATTTGCTTAGCATACAGATTGAATAAATATGGTGAAAGGATACAACCCTGACACACTCCCTTCTTGATTTTAAACCACGCACTGTCCCCTTGTTCTGTTTGAACGACAGCCTCCTAGTCTACGTACAAGTTCCTCATGAGTACAATTAAGTGTTCTGGAATTCCCACTCTTCTCAATGTTACCCATAATTTGTTATGATTCCCACTCTTCTCAATGTTACCCATAATTTGTTATGATCCACACAATCAAATGCTTTTGCACAGTCAATAAAACACAAGTAAACATCTTTCTGGTATTCTTTGCTTTGAGCCAAGATCCATCTGACATCAGCAATGATATCCATTGCTTCACATCCCCTTCTGACTCCAGCTTGCATTTCTGGAAGTTCTCTGTCAATATACTGCTGCAACCATTTTTTAATTATCTTCAGTAAGATTTTACTTGCTTGTGATATTAATGATATTCAATAATTTCCACGTTCTGTGGGATCACCTTTCTTTGGAATGGTTACAAATATGGATCTCTTCCAGTCAGTTGGCCAAGTAGCTATCTTCCAAATTTTTTGGCATAGCCGAGTAAGTGCCTCCAGAGGGGCATCCATTTGTTGAAACATCTCAGTGGGTATTCTGTCAATTCCTAGAGCATTGTTCTTCGCCAGTTCCTTCATTGCAGCTTCAACTTCTTCCTTCACTACCATTGGTTCTTGATCCTATGCCACCTCCTGAAATGGATGAAGACCAACCAGGTCTTTTTGATACAGTGACTCTATCTATTCCTTCCATCTTCTTCTGATGGTTCCTGCATCACTCAATATTTTGCCCACAGAGTCTTTCAATATTGCAACTCAAGGCTTAATTTTTTTCCTCAGGTCTTTCAGCTTGAGAAATGCCAAGTGTGTTCTTCTCTTTTAGTTTTCTAACTCCAGGTCTTTGCACATTTCATTATAGTAATTTGCTTTGTCTGCTCTTTGAAATCTTCTGTTCAGCTCTTTATCTTGTCATTTCTTCCATTTGCTTTAGCTATTCTCCACTCAAGGGCAAGTTTCAGAGTTTCTTCTGACATCCATTTTGATCTTTCTTCTTTTCTCATATTTCTAATGACCTCTTGCATTCTTCTTGGGTGATATTCTTGATGTCATCCCACAATTCTTCTGGTTTTCAGTCATTGGTGTTCAAAGCATCAAATCTATTCTTTAGATGATCTCTAAATTCAAGAGGGACATATTCCAGGTCATATTTTAGCTCTTGTGGACTTGTTTTAATTGTCTTCAACTTCAAGTTGAACTTGCATATGAGCAGTTGATAGTCTGTTACACAGTCAGCTCCTGGCCTTGTTTTGGCTAAAGATAATGATGAGCTTTTCCCTTGCCTTTTGCCACAGATATAGTCAATCTGATTCCTGTGTATGCCATCTGGTGAAGTCCACGTGTATAGCTGCCATTTGTGTTGTTGAAGAACGGTATTTGCAATGAATAAGTCATTGGTCTAGTAAAATTCTATCATGCAATCTCCAGCAATATTTCTGTCACCAAGGCCAAATTTTAACTACCGGTGATTCTTCTTTATTTCAAACTTTTGCATTCCAGTCACCAGTGATAATTAACACATGTTGATTGTACTTTTGGTCAATTTCAGACTGCAGAAGTTAATAAAAATCTTCAATATCCTCATCTTTGGCTTTGGTGGTTGGTGTGTAAATTTGAATAATAGTCGTATTAACTGGTCTTCCTTATAGGTGTATGGATATTATCCTATCATTGACAGCATTGTACTTCAGGACAGATCTTGAAACACTCTTTGTCCCTCCCCTTACCTGGATCCTGCCACTCTCTCTGTCATCCCCGGTTTTCCCCCGACTTGCTGCCTCTTGGGGGTGGGGCTTCCTATATATGTGAAAGTTGCACAATGGATAATGAAGACTGAAGAATTGATGCCTTTGAATTGTTGTAGTGTTGGTGGAGAATATCGAATATAGCATAGACTACTCAAAGAATAAACAAATCTGTCTTGGAATAGTACAGCCAAAATGTTCCTTAGAAGCAAGGATGATGAGGCTTTGTCTTACATATTATGGACATGTTATCAGGAGAGACCAGTCCCTGGAGAAGGACTTCATGCATGGTAAAGTAGAGGGTCAGTGGAAAAGAGGAAGACCCTCAATGAGATGGATTGACACTGTGGACTGGAACATAGCAACAATTGTGAGGATGGTGAAGCACCAGGCAGTGTTTTGTTGTGTTGACTGTAGGTTTGCTATGAGTTACAATTGATTCTATGGCACCCAACAACAGCAGAATGTTTCATATTAGCAGAGGAATTGTTGATATAATTTTGTGGAGATAGATAATCTTCAATTCTAATAAGGAATAATTACTTTCTTTAAAATGTAGTCCTCTTTCTCTGAGTTCTCATGTTTGTCTACATAAAAGAGTTGGCCATTAAAAATCCCTGTTTGGAACAATAGATTGATACAGTGGCTGTAACGATGGGCTCAAGCATACCAAGGATTGTGAGGATGTTTCAGGACCAAGCAGTGTTTCTTTCTGTTGTCCATAGAGTCATCAAGAGTCAGTTTACTTGACAACAAAAACAACAACAAATTAGCACAAATGGTTTGTGCTCAATTACTTCCCCAAAGATTGGTGGTTAAAATCCACTGAGGAGTACCACAGAAGAAAGATCTAGAGATTTGCTTCCATAAGGATTACAGCCAAGAAAATCCTGTAGAACAGTTCTACTCTACATTGTTCTGCTCTACATTGAGGTCGTCATGAGTTGGAAAAATTAGTTTGTAAGGATACCTGGCCTAATGTGTTTCTATTCTTATTTCATTCTAATAACCTCAATTATAGTAGGGATTTAAATTGACTTAATGATTGAACATAAACCCTAAATATTCTGATCACAAGGTTTTTGGTTTTGGTTTGTGACTTTATTTTTGGAAAGGGGGGAAAAGGTTTACCTAATACAAATATTCCATAGTATTGGCAAAAATTCATTGTATTTTAAGAGTATTTTCCCTGTCTTTTCAGCCTAAATTCAAGAAGAAGAGGTATTTCTTCTTTGGGGTGCTATGTGGACTCTCCTTATTCAATTTCAGTGTTGCCAACATTCCTTTTCCTCCAGTACTGTTTAAGAAACTTCTGGACCAAACACCATCATTGGAAGACTTGAAAGAACTCAGTCCTGTTTTGGGAAAGTAAGTAAGATAGCTCCTTTTTCAGAACACTATTTAAAATATATTTAGGTAAATATTTAAACATACACACAAATAATATTTTCATATTTAACAGTAGCTAATTATAGACAACTTAAAACACTTTGAACTTTGGCAGATGTTGTTGGATAATAAATTAACTTTTGAAAATTAAGAAAAGTTCCTATGACTAGTCTTCAATCCTTGAATTAATCTTTGAACTTTATCTGTGTAGAGCATTTCCAATAGACATTGCACAGGTGGTGAATCTGCAAGTGATGTTTATTTTTTTATTTATTTAAAGCAGACTATTTTTAGAGCAGTAGTGTAGCACAGTGCCTAAGGCACTTGACTGCTAACCAGAAGGCTGGCGGTTCAAACCCACCAGCCACTCCTTGGAAGGAAGGTTGGGCAATCCTACTTCCGTAGTGATACTGCCTCGGAAACCCAAGGAGGGGTCGCTATGAGTCAGGGCTGACTCAACGGCATACAACAACAACAACAGTGTTATTTATTTTAAATCATGCTTCATGTCATCACCTTCACTTATCAGATATTGAGAATAATTTGAAAGCTACATTAATTAGGACAGTTTGGTATTGGTACAGGTTTTCCAGTGTATGTAAGGCTTTTGGCTGCTAACCAGAAGGTCAGCAGTTCAAATCCACCAGCTGCTACATGAGAGGAAGACGAAGCAATCTGTTTCATAAAGATTTACAGTTTTGGAAACCCATTAGAGGTCACTATGAATCAGAATCAACTCGATGGCAGTGGGTTTGGTTTTTTAGAAGAGACTCAAAGTGAACTATGCTTATGTGGGGCTTTGTTAGAGGCAGGTCAGTGGAGATAGGAGGTACTGTTCAATAAATGGAGCTAGAAAAATGTCATCCATCTGGGAAAAACTGAAAGTGGATTATCACCTTATACACACACAAAAAAAAAAATTCATGTGGATTAAGGATGTAAATTTCAAGTGCAAAAATATGCCTTTTCTGTATCTTTTGTAATACCCTTCTCACTGAAGATTTTTTTAAGCAAGACATAAAAAGTACCATCATTAAAGAAAAGATTGATAAATTTAACTGCAATAATATTAAACAATTTCTCTGTTCATCAAATAATATCTTGATGAAAGAGAAAAGACACTACACAAGCTGGCAGATATATGTGACACATTTGGAGGTGGTAGAAATCTGGGATGGTGAAATAGATGGTCACTGAAAATAAGGGAAACCTTCAATGAGATGGCTTGACACAGTATCCAAAAGAATGAACTCACACATACCAGTGATCATAAAATGATGCAAGACTAGGCGATATTTCATTCTGTTACACAAAAGATCACCATGAGTCAGCCAACTGTATGGCAACTAACCCCAAAAATGAGATAGAGGAAGTATCCTATATAGTTAGGCACAAGATATTAGCAGTGTTTTAGCTCTATATTGGGAGGGTATAGATGTTCATTATAAACCATATATAAATAAATAGGCAAATAAGCGATGTGTGGAGAAGTGATGTCAGGGTATCATGAACCAAGGCTTACGATTAATCCAGGTCTACCTGATGAGTTCTAATTTCCTTCCTCAAAAACTCACAAAGACTAAAACATGGTTTCTTTTTTCACAATTCATTAATAAGTGATCCAGTAGGTGGATGGTAAACACCTTCTCCTGGACGCTTTCCCCAATGACCTGTATTCCTTTTGAAAGGGTTAATAAACTTTTCTAAGCTGTACTTCTACCATTTACATAGTTCTCTGGCTGTACATATCCCACTGTACTTTAGCTGAGACATTCATCCACCTATCTCACCTAATAGTTTGAAGATTTATGGATCTAATTCTTTAGTGTCAAATTTACATTTTTTATGCTTGCCACCTTATGTGTTTAATAATGTTTGCTGAATGCAAAAATGAGTGACTGAGCCAACAAAGCAGTAACATGAAGGATCTTATGTTAAATATCTATCTGTATATAAAGTACCATAGGACTACAGAGAATAGAAATATAAAAAGACTGGCTATTATACGTTCTGACATAAGCTTTATTCACAGATGTCTTGAAACACCATAGGTAGTCAAATTTCAGGTCTTAAGTTTAATGAAACTGGGAAAAGATTAGTACAGAAAAGGTCTTTTTTTTCTTCAGGGATAGATTATTAATAATGCAAATTACTGTGTTTTCTAGTAAATTTGGAGTTTATAAACACTATGATTATCATTGTTTGTTGTTGTTATTATTATGTCTTTATTCTTCAATTTGAAATTCCTGATTGAAAAAGATCTTGGTGATTATGTCAAGCAGAATTTTTTTTTAACTTTTCCTTAAGATTTGCATGAAAATTTACAGAGCAAATTGATTTTCATTTCAAAAAATTGTGCACATTTTGATTTAATACGTTGAGTGCAATCCTTATAATGTAACAGCCCTCTTCCCACTTACTCGCTGTGTTTACCATCCTTCTTTGCTATCCTTTCCTGCCTTCTGAGCTTTATCCCTGGGCAGATGATGCTCTTTTGTACTTGTATGGTTGATTTTTCTAAGGCAAGAGTATCTCCCTTGAGTTATTGCTCATTTTATAGGCCTATTTTTGGGATGGTAATTGCTTCATAAAATTAATTTGGAAGTATTCTATCTATTTCTATGTTCTAGAATAGTTTTGAGTACTGTAGGTGTCAACCCTTCCCTGAATGTTTGGTAAAATTCTCCAGTGAAGCCATCTGGGCCAGGATGACTTCTTGTGGGAAGTTTTTTTATGACTTGCTCTATTTATTCCTTTGTTATGGGTCAGTTCAAGTATTCTATCTCTGACTGGAATAGTTTAGGTAGGTCTTGTGTTTCTAGAAACTTATCCATCTCTTCTTGGTTCTCGAATCTGTTGGAGTACAGTTCTTCATAATATTCTATCAATATCTTTTATTTCTGGAGCTCTGGTAGCATAGTGCCTAAGGCACTTGACTGCTAACCAGAAGGCTGGCAGTTCACACCCACTAGCCACTCCTCAGAAGAAAGGTTGGGCAATCTACTTCCATACTAATACTGCCTCAGAAACCCAAAGAGGGGTCTCTATGAGTTGGGTCCGACTTGACAGCACGTAACAACAACAACAACATCTTTTATTTTGGTTGGTTCTGTTGTGATGTTGCCCTTTTTGTTTATTATTCATGTTATTTGCATCTTCTCTTTCTTTTCTTTTGTTAGATTTGCCAGTGGTTTGTCAATTTTTTTAATCTTTTCAAAGAATTAACTTCTTGTTTTATTGATTTTCTCTGTTGTCTTTTTGTTTTCTGTTTCATTTATTTCTGCTCTGATCTTTATTATTTCCTTACTTCTGGATATTAAAGGTTTCTTTTGTTGCTCTTTTTCTAATTGTTGGAGTTGCTGAGTTAGACTATTGATTTTGTTTCTTTCCTCTTTTTTGATGTGTGCATTTATTGCTATAAATTGACTTCTGAGTACTGCTTTCACTGTGTCCCATAGGTTTTGATAAGATGTGTCTTCATTCTCATTTGTTTCTAGAATTTTTTTTTATTTCACAGTGTATTTATTCTGTTACCTGGTAGTTTTTGAACAGTGTATTATTCAACTCCACGTGTTTGATATTTTTTCCTTGGTCTTCCTATTATTGATTTCTAACTTTATAACATTGTGATCCAAGAAGATGCTTTGTCATATGTCAGTGTTTTTTAATTTTTTGAGGCTTCTTTTATATCCTAACATATGATCTATTCGGGAGGATGATCCATGTGCACTGGAGAAGAATGTAAATTGTGCTTTTTTTGTTGGCTGGAGTGTTCTGTATATGTCTATGAAGTTGAGTTGGTTGATGGTGGTATTGAGTACTTCTATATTTTTGTTAAGTTTTTTTCTAGTTGATCTGCCCCTCCTTGAAGGTGATGTGTTAAAGTCTCCTACTACTGTTGTAGAGTTGTCTATTTTTCCTTTCAATTTAGTTAATATTTGCATCATGTATTTTGCAGCACTTTGATTGGGTGCATATTTATTATGGTAAAGTTTTCTTGGTAAATTGACCCTTTTAGTATCATATGGTGTCCTTCTTTGTCCCTTATGCTGTTTTTCACCTTGAAACCTATTTTATCAGAAATTAATATTACCACTCCTATGAGTTGGGGCCGACTTGATGGCAAACAACAACAAAAAAAAAAACCTCTTTTTTGGTTCCCATTAGCTTGGTATATTTTTTTCCACCCCTAAACTTTTAATTTGTTTTTATATTTGTCTCTAAGTTGGGACTCTTGTAGGCAGCATATCAGTGGGTCTCCTTTCCTTATCCAGTCTGTCACTCTCTTTCTCTTGACTGGTGCATTTAGTCCATTCACTTTGAGTGTAATTAGTGATAGGTATGAATTGATTACTGTCATTCTGTTGTGTTTTTTGTTGTTTTGCTAATGATTTCCTTGGTCCAGATACTTTTCTGTACTGAGTTCATTTTGTTATCAAGTGTTTCTTCTCTTTTCTTCTTTATTGTTGTTTTTGTGCTGAGCCCATGTTTTCCTTCTTTCTGGGTCTACCTAGAGGGATTGTTAATTTTCTCTGTGGTTACCTTGGAGTGTATTCTTATTGTAGACAGCAGATTGATGGGTTATGTTTTCTTTTCCAGTCTGCAATGCGCCATCCCTTGAGTGGTGTAATTGATCCATTTACATTCAGTGCAATTATTGACAAGTAAGAGTTTGTTGCTGTCATTTTGTTATGTGTTTTTTTTTTTTGTGTGTGTGGTGTTGCTCATTCCTTTGTTCTGTATAATTTTCTGTGCTGAGCTCATTTTGTTATGAATTATATTATCCTTTCCTTCATTGCTATTTTTTTATATTGCTAAATATTTCTTCTTGTCTTTATTTTAATGCAAAGGCTTATTGTTTTTCTTTGAGGTTACCCTGTGATTTATAATTTTCTTCCCAAGTTTAGAACAGTCCATTCTGTTAAAACTGTCTTGACTTCCTTACCATTTAGGCATTCTGTAACTACTTTTTTTTTTCC